CGATGCAAGGATATTTATACAATTGCTTTGGGAGGTTACAATAGCATCTCTCTAACGATCGCGTTACTGACGAATATGTGATAGACAAAGTGTTCGTTCTACGACACCTAGTTTTATCATATTCATATGAAAACGGGAGGATTACTCAAATGAGCAATTCCCACTAGTACATTACTATACAAGCAACATCTAGAGATCTGAAGTTGTAATAGGCTGTGCATGTCATTCCGGAAATCATCCCCTGCGGTTGGCTTTTAAAATGATTGGTCTCTTTGCATGTTTTGGGAAAGAATAGACCTGCTGCATCCCATTGCATTTTGTACGAGTCGAATGTCGTGGGCCCCTGCAGAATTGGGATTTTCTGTGGTGTCGTCTACCAAGAAAACAACGAATAGAGCAAAATTGATTGTCTGCCCCTTTTATAACACTTGGAATCAACCTTCTCTTTTCTAACTTCCCTACTACTTTTTTCTTTCAGTGGTATCCCCTTCGACACCCGTCTTTGTATAACCCTAGGACGTTAGCACCCAAACAAACAAACAATAAAAAAAATCCAATGATTCTTGTTTTACAGGTATGGTATATAAGTTCAAATGTGCACATTTATCTTTTGGGAGATACAACGTAAACACGTATGTGTTGCAGAAAGGCCATGTGTATTAATATTCACTGTGTCATTGATTCGTGCATAAAATAATGTACTGTGTTATACATCAGGTGATTAACATGTTTTACTGTCTGTTTCAAACGCAGCGTTGTCAAGATGCATATATCTCAGTAGATTTAATACGGTATATTCATATATCTACTATGAAGAATTAATAATCTGATTAGCTCTAGTTTCGACTTTGTCTTAATGTGGTTTCATTCATTTCTTGGCATTTTGAGGTCATACTAAGAACGGTGCACACAGGAAATATTTCCTCGCATGGATTCTCCCGTCCATTAAATAGAGATGTAAAACAAAATATGTTATATCAATAAGTCAATATACACGAACAATATGAGGATTAGCATTTCTCACGAAAATAAAAAAAAAATAGGGATAAAGGAGATACCAAAGTAAAGATATCTTCAACCCAACATCAAAAACCATGGAGAAACTATGCGAACTGTTTTATGATCCACAAACTCATTGTGTCGACATTTAATGCCAGATCAACGTACCATTAGATGTTCAGCCACTTGAAAATTCACACGCTAATTAACTTATCAAGTAATCCCAACAGGAGCCCGAGGACAGGATAAGTACGGTAAATACAAAACTGATTCCTCAATAGACCCAACCCGATATGTCTGTAGATTAATACTACCTAAAATATTCATGCAGCTTTTCAGCGGGAACCGTTTGATGTTCTGATTATGCTGTCTAGTTGACTTGGCGATAACGGAATCTTATCACCACCCTCAGTACATTTGTATGACTTCCGGAAAGAGCATATCAATATCCTCTCGACTATCTACGTAACTTAAATGTAGCTCTGCCCGGATCGATGGGACACAAAACGTGGGTGTTGCACTATACGACCTTTACATGAATACATACAGCAATTCATGTCTGCATCCGCTATATAAGGTACCTTAACACTAATCCCGTGCAAATTAACTTAGAAAATACTCAAAAATGATCAAGTTCACACATTTGAAACCTTACTGAAAACCTAGCGCCTTGACAGGAAGACATAAATGCTAGGTAAGGACACATAAAACGACAACCAATAGAACCTTTACACAACTCATATGTTGGTTACTACTTACCTCCCATAATAAGTGAACTCCAAATGAAATAACTACATGTACACATCTCCGTATATAGTTGTGTTTGTTAAAATGGGTAACGTCAAGATCGTTTCAAACTGTTTGGAAGCATAAACTGTCTGTGAATCATGTTCTAGAATAGCATGTGGATATGTAAAGGATATTTTTAGACAAGCAGTATTTAGTTTAAAATCACCAGTACACTATAATATTAATTTCTCTAAAGTTCCATCTTGACAGAGATTAAAAATCATTATCAATTGTATGCTTCTGTTTGTTTGTTTGTTTGATTTTGTTTAACGTCCTATTAACAGCTAAGGTCATTTAAGGACGGCCTCCCATGTGTGCAAGATGCATGAGTGTAGTGTATGTGTGTGTATTTTGGGAGGCTGCGATATGTTCGTGTTTGTCTCCTTGTGATAGCGCGGAACTGATGCCGACTTTATAGTGCTACCTCACTGAGACATACTGCCGAAGACACCCAGCAGGACGCCACACCCGGTCACATTATACTGACAACGGGCGAACCAGTCGTCCCACTCCTAATTTGCTGAGCGTTAAGCAGGAGTAGAAACTACCATTTTTAAAGACTTTGGTATGTCTCGGCCAGGGGACAGAACCCAAAGCCTTCATCACAGGGGCGAACGCTCAACAAATGCCCAAAAGTGAGGCATTGTCAAGGGAGACATTAGGAAGAAGAAAGTTATTTAGAAAGGAGAGAAGAGATAAGGTCCCAAATTTAGTCGCCTCTTACGATCATGCAATTGGGGGCAGCAGGTACAATTCTTACGCCCTACCTGCAGGGTATGCTTCTGTAACCACATTGCCATCACGGGATCTATGTTATAATGTTTGAGCCATGGTGCATATATATTACAGATCCACCGTAAAAGTCAAAGTATCCGAAGGCTTCAATATTTAACGACAGCGTGACGGATGTACCAGGTACACTGCCATCTGCATTCACGTGCAACATGCAAATGCCGTATAGCATGAGGTAGCTATATAACCTTCATGAGTATGTGCGTTTTATTTACTGTGCTTTTGCACGAAAGTCTGGATGTTTTTTTTTACCTTCAACGAGTAGGGCCACGGGCAAACATCAATAACGTTTTATCTAAACCCTGCACATGTCCTGTATTGTACTGTATTTAAATGCAATGCTAATTCTACCTATTACCATATAGGACTTTGAAATTGTGATAGATGTACGTTGTAGAGGTTCGATGTGACGTTCACAAGTAAACAACCCAGGGGAAACTATCACGAGAAGCACAAACTTCGTTCAGCTTGATACTGAATGCATCATGTTACGCATTACAATTGACAGGCAATTTATTTAAAAATCATTTGATAAGTGATCCTGCCAGGCCAAGGCCATCCAAACTATATAGTATAAGACAAATTTTGGATCAACTAAAAGTGATAGCAATAATCCCTAGACGACTCATAAACTGCGCGATGAGATGAGTCGACGCTAAACAACCGAATGCGAGATTACAATGCCTTACTTATTCGCACCGTAGACATATACATTTCTAATGACCCCGTAACTTCCATAAACCTCATACGGTGATCCAGATGCCCTTTGGTAAAGTCGTGATGTATAGATATAAGGTTGCGTTTATGTGATTTCCAAGAAAAATAACGACTACAGCTACAAAATGTAGGGACGTGGTCTGACGTACTTTCTCATAATAACTACGTCTATATCCAGAGTAGCAAAATCCTCATAACGTTACGGAGATTCTGGACCTAAAGCAACAGGGGTCTGGTTCTTTATGGCGGTAATGACATATTGGTGACAAGGTCGAGTTCATCACCGTCTGACCACCTTTTCGTGACCTTTCGAATGGTAATCGCAACAATGGCTAACTTGACGGAGACTCCACTGAAGATAAATATGATATTAAGACTGCAGGAGGCTGTTTTGTTCACAGTGTTGGAATGATGTACACGTTATCATGAGGTTCGGCAGTATTAATGACCATATACAACCTGCGTACATGTAAATGTTCTATTTCATCGCTTAGAGACCGCACGCTCATGAACTTTCAAAAACAAGGATGTTGCGCGGTGGAACTGTTGTCTCTTGTATCTGATAAATGCCATTGTCACACGGTACGGAAGTGTAATGTAATTGGTCTGACTATAATTTGGTTTGGTAAATGTTACCTTGTAGAAGGTTTCACAGAATCGATTAACAAAAGTTTAAATAGAACAACAAGAACGGTATGACGCCATTTCACCCCAGACACCTTCTCACTATAACAGAATGCTTATGCGATCTGTTTATTTAGGCACAGTTCTCGCGAACTTTTTATAAACGTGATGTCCCCCCTCGAGAGTCACTTTGTCTTCAAGTAACTTTGACCAAGGTCGCACGCCATGAAACCCGTGTGCTCGAATCGTAAGTTACAAATGAACCAATTAGTCTCGCTCCTTTTCGTCATACACCAGCAGTTATCGGCTACATGTAACGTATCAGGACATTTGTAATTACACTATTGTAATATATTGCAAAACCGCATATATGAAACCATATATATTCGACAACTTATATAGTAAATTAATATCAGATTTTGAATTTTGTATACTCCTTTTTTCTCATTGACAATGTGACTCTTTCGTTAGATATGCTCCATAAACGGATGTCTAACATGACGAGCTGTTCGTGTTAAAAAGCATGGTGATTTATTGCTCTCATTCAAAGTCGCCTAAAGCATTACAAGAGAGCAGCTATCACCCTTATCCTTCATTTTGGCAAATTTAACAATCTATAGAGTTAAGGGATGCATGGTATACGAGATGTGATAAGCGATATAATAATGTCTACTTATCATTTTGTTTCAGCAAATGTCCTTTTCGATACATTCTTACAGTTGTGCGAATAGTGGAATATACCCTAAATACAAATAGAGCAAGATCAATCAATATAAGTCCTTCTACCTGTATCTTCACTGATGAATAAGAATAACGGAATAAGAGCCTTTAGCGACAGTTCCAAACTTTGAATCACATTTTTGGATTGACGTTTTTTAAATGTTGTCTGTGATACATGTAGGTCCTTTTGAGAACTCAAGTTCAACACAAATTATTCATATTAACGAAATATGTAATGTGTAAATTTTACCCGACCTACTCGATATATGACCAATGTGGAGTATTAATGTCAATTACTGCTGAAAAAATATGAGTGGTGAGTATTTAATGAAAGTAAGATAAAATGAAAGGGAACTTACCATATCTTTTCTTTATATTGTCTTTTTCAGCTGAAAAATAATAACAATTTGATATACATCACAATACTAAAATATTATGTTAAAACGGTATCAAGAATGTGTTCGTGGACACCTTAGGTTTATATAACATAGCATTTACTTTTCCTCGATACATTGATTTTTTATTTTCTTCTTGTCGGTACCGAATCTATGTAATAAAATTACGTTAAAATCTTATTTATACACACAACGAGATCAACAAAGCTACAAACAGTGCAACACTGATACCTCGTTAACTTGTTTTCGGTATCAAATAAGAAATACAATTATTTGGTTCTCGTTAAAAGTTTACGTTTACAGAAGTATTTTCCCGTGACATTTGTTATATTATATCCAAACGCAGGGGATTGTCAATTATGGTATTGAATGTGCTTCTAAGCGTTGTAGTTTTGAGATTTTTTTATCTGTTCAAGCAATTTCTGCCTGTTATGGTTTTTGGTAATTTTGATGTGAATTGAATATTGCACTGCTCTTTAATAAACGCATATCAATATTGTGTACTTTAATGGTTAAAGGTCGTAATCAAAAAAAGTGATAACACTCATAAAGTATAAGGTTGCCTGTGGTAAATGTATTCTATGAATATCTACGGTAATATGTTTTAAATTCTGACGACAATAACGAGAATATAACCGTTAAAATTACATCAGTTCAGTAATCTTTAATTGCAAGCTATACTTTGGATGTCGATAAAGCTATAATTTAAGTTCTACGTATTTTCTAGCAACAATTTCATGAATATCGAATGCCTTCATTTCAAACATCGAGCACAAATCAAATTTTGTTTCCCCTAATCCGTATAATGATTTTGCTATGCAAATATTACTAATGCGTTTGGTAGTCTTTGACTCTTAAGACATGAGCCGCAAAATTTTGAAGAATTTATTACTTAATTTATATGTTGCTAGAATTATTTGGCGATACCTTTGCATATCATGTGAACTGTTAATGCTGGCATTCACTGCGTGATCTTTCCAATCGTACATCACATAATGCGCAATCGTGACGATTTGGAAATGAATAATGAAGTTTGATAAGGGTCATGTTTTAAAACAAAGTTACAAATTGCTGTTTAGAAGCATAAAGGGCAAAAGGGCGCCATTGTATATTGTTTGCGGTACATTCGGCACTCATACGCTTTATCGCCAAGAAAATAATCCACCGTCAAATGGTTTTTAAAGGTAAAAGTGACAGTGAAACCTTTTATCGCGGCGGCAGAGAAGAAGAAAGGTCGAACCACCTTTCACCAAATATTTTGCTTTTCTCAAATTTCTTTTATGAATTCGTAATTCGTTATCAACATAATTCAGATACATCAGATCAATCACAAAGGGGCGTCCGAACTGTTACCAACCAAGTGTGCATGTCAATATTAAAGGATGCATCTACTTCGGAAGAACACAATAAGAGAAATAAAAAAAAAGAATTTTCCACAAAAAATTGCTGTTGTAATGAATGGTCGACCATTACCTGCCAAATGACCATAGTGACAAATCATCTGCTAACTACTAATCATGTGAGTATCTTGATCGCGATGCTTATTTAAATGGAAATTGATTGCAAAAGTATGTATATTGCATGCATGACCACTGCAATATCCAAGTTTGATTTCGTTTGAAGGAAAGTGGTGATAGAGGTGGAGTAAAAAAGTGGCTTGCATTAACCAACTAGGCGAATGGTTTTCGATGTCCTAACAAAGCATAAGTCATATAATTTACTGCCTTTGCTAATATCATATTATGTAATTATGATTAAGAAATGTAAAGTATTATATTTTTATAGATGATGCATACAAAAAACAATACGCTAGTGAGAAAATCTAGATATGGTGACGAAATAAAATACACCAAAACATGACTTGAAATGTTCGCTGATATAATTACAAAAACCACAGGAAAACTCAATTGTAATGAAAATGTTTGATTAATTGGTACGTGTCACAACGCAAGATGGTTTTATGACATCAAATAACTACAAGTTGATTATATTGAAAAAGAGAATCCGTGATACTAACCTGACACTATATTGATAAAGCGATTCACACATATCTTGTAAAACCTGTTTGTTATTACTCACAAAAAATGTTATTTATTATAGTTTGTGAACATTTAAATCAACATATTAATTTTATAATTTTTGACCTAAGGATCACAGAGTAAAAGTGTAATGATATTTTAGATATGAATGATTGTGAAATAGCATATACAATATGTGTCGGTTATTAGATAGTAAATGACGATTTCGCTGGGTGACCAACTACATTTTCTACATTCACAGTATATATTTACTCGCTATTACCCTCTGTTCGTACCAAAGGGACACACTATAATTATGTAGACGAGTTTATCATATAGATTTGGACACATTGGATTTGAATAATCCTCACATAGACACATCCATGCTTCTGTAGATATACTCGGTGTACATTAAACATGACAGAAATTTACATACAGAGACAAACTTTGAACTTAAAATTCGACACGATAAGACAAGAACATGAACTAAGGAGACAGTGAAACAAAAAAGGAAAGATATCATGAACCGTCACCTACATCTGAGAGAAACCATGTGTTTCATGGAAGAACAAACGTTTCCTGCACCACATGTAGAATCCCTTCACAATGTCTATGGGAAAGTAGGTCAGTTGCTAACGATCTAAGACTTACATTCTTGTAGCGAACGAGCTTCTTAACCTGGTAGACCCTGAACCCTCATAACTGGAAATTACGCAAACATGTCCAACAAGCAAGAAGTATGATGCATTTATTAAACGAAGATTGACGCATATCTGGTAGGAAATCATGGATATGTCGTCTTTTTAATCAACGTTTGGTTTATATTTAAAATACTTGACACTTAAAAAGGATTTGCTTAAATAAATCAGCCGCGACATATTTATATAATACTTAAGTAGAAGATGCTAAACTTCAAGAAGCGTTTGTTTCAGTGTTATTGAAGTTGTTACGTTTTGCAGGTTGGTAGAAATGTGATCTTTATTGTCATATAGTTGATACACAACAATAACTGTTACTGACAAAGATGCACATGTCGAAATTGCCGAAATTCTTTATAGTCAGGGAAACACCAGAAATGTATCTAAATGTGATAAATAATCTGACTTGCTGCTCATTTGCTGTGTGACATGATGAAAAATCGGCTTAAAACCATTCAAATATATCAGAAAATTGAACAAAAATGATGCTGATGTTTTTGTGTCTGTTAGTTTTAGAAAACATATAAATCCGCTCAGATTTTAAATATGTTTGCATTTTAGCAAAATGCATGATGCTCTACAGTGTCAACAAATTAAAAGTATAAGAAGGCATTATGGTGTTTTAAGTTCCACATTTGGTTGATCCCACTACAGAAATAAGGAAACTCTCATAATTTATGAAATATTTTGTTAAAATATAAATGTATGGCGGTTAGAAACATTTTGTTCATATTTGTGTTCAACACGTAGAGATCATTGTCTGTATGGTGTGTAGAGGAGTTCCAAATAGGGAGGGTAACTCAGTAACAGAATGCATACTACATAGACCGCATCGTTTGTGTACAATTCTTTCATTTTTGTTCTGTAATTTTATTGGTGCATATGTTTTCTCCGAAGAGTGACGATGCAGTTAAAATACATTTTTTTTTTATTGTAAAATAAACTGGACATTTTACATTGGCTACTGATACATCTATATATCATTATGAATAATGACAATACAATTAAACTTCGAGTACTTATTTCTGTTATTTGACGAACATGTTACTCAACGTTTGTGATTTTTTTAACAAAACACGGATAATTCATATTAATAGATCGTAAACAGGAAACCCTGGTTTCGACTTTAGCCTTTTGATCTCTCCTGTTGTTCTGTTAGTGTCAATTTGTATCAACTTCGAGTGTTTCAAAGTTTTACATGAATTATAAAGATAGCTTATTGATAGTACGACATTAGCACAATGTGTATTTAGAAAGTGCACATATATGTACCTTAACAGTTCGTAGATTGTCACACCATTGTAGATTTTCACGCCATTGTACAGTTCATTAGTCTTAATTCGAGTTGACACCATAAGGGAACAGGACAAGAATAGTACATACAACGTTCGAATAAGTACGTTTATATTTGAATTGTCATTTCATATCTTCTTTAATACAATAATCTGGTATGGAGTAATCTGCTGATTATGTTGCGTCAAGTCGTACACATCAATGACTAGTCGATGGCTTGATTCGTTCATTTATTTTTTCTCATTAAAAAGACATAAAGTGTCATCTAGGTGCAATGTTGTGCAAGTGTTCAGATTTTAAAAACAGGCTTTAGAAGAAAAATAATATAGAAGTGCCAGTTTGTTAATGCTGTGACAGTAAACGTGTTTTAAGTGATATCTTTAAAACATATTCATCATATGTTTATTACTTTCGATTTAACTGTTAGTAATCCTATAATATCATTGGTATATCTATCTTTAAGATGGAATATCATTTTTTTGCCTTTGTCCTTGTCGATATTTTAAAACATACTTTATTATCTTTATAAGATTTGGCAATCAATATTTTCTATTTTTTGACATGAAAGGTTGTTGCCTTACTGGTAAAATTCCTTGATAATGTTGGAAATGTATTGATAAATATTATTTCATCACATTAAACAAAAAATGTCAACGTTTATTGCATTAGTAAAATCGCAATAAATCATATGCAACATATATTTACGCTATACTCTAAATATTTGATATGTACATGTAATAAACGTGCTTAAAATAACACCCGATGAAACGTCACGAAAATAAAATGAATAAATGACATCACTTCACGGCAAAAGCAAGGTTATTTCCTCTTGATATGTTTTATATAGAAGACATTTTCCTTCTATTTGATTGAAGCCTATATTGTTTTTAAAAAAAAAAATATCAATAACATTGACATTGATTTGACTAGATCCCCATCCGTTTCGGACATAGTTGCAATAGTTGTTTCTTGCCTTTAATGTGTTTTAATACTATTTTTTTATCCATGTTGTCTTGAATATTGAATGCTCAAGAGTAACAAAAGCTGATAGCGACACGTAGATCTATATGTACATCAATGTCTCAAGTTCACTCATTGCAGAATTAGAATATATTTTGATGATTTTTTGTGCAAATTCTTGTGTTATTCAATACACGAAATGACTGTGCGCTGATAATGTGTTCACTGATGCAGAATGTATAATACGACATTTGTAAACGACGAAAAAAAAATGGTGGTGTGCAATATTCAGAAGTCTACAATGGATCAGAAATAATTTAAATGATGTCTACTTGATTGTACGTGTGGACAAGAAGCTACATCGAAGTTACATTGCAAAATGTGATAAAATCAAAGGAGGGGTGCCCACTTTAATGCTGTAGTTGGCAAGTTTGAATTTTCTTGCAGAAACAAGTTATATAATTATGAAAGTGGGTTCTTTTTTTAATCAGTCAGTCCCTGTATAGATAGCTGATGAGTTGACTTTGGAAATGTTGATATGGTCGTTACAATTATAAATATTTTAATTAATATTTAAATCTAGGAAAAAAACCTCAAAGAAGTAGAGCGCATTGAAGAATGCATCTTACTAAACTGAATAGCAAGAAATACCATTGTTCGCTCCTTTTTCAATTTCATCCTATCTTTCTACGCAGGGACTAATTGATAAAAAACAAAACATTTTATGATAACCTTAACTTAGTTATAATTCCTTCAAAACACCGAGTCTATTATGGCCAGCAGAAGCATTTAAAATAGTCACCCCTACGTTCTAAACATTACTACCAAATATTTTACAAACGGTTAAATACATTTATAAAATTTTGTTATACCTTTATTTCCACCGTTTGTTCCATCTGTCATCACAAACCTACCACCGCTTTCTGAAATGATTTGTAAAAATACAGCGACTCCTTAGTTGTTTTATAAAGCTCTTTTCGACCTTAGAGATCTTTTGAACTTTCTGAGATATGTGGCACTTAAATTTTAAATATACTTTTATTTTTTCGTTTTCTAAATTATTATAAAAAGAAACACTACTCAAATTTTACATTGATTATAAGGCATAAAGTGACCGAAAAAGTGGAAACAGAATCTATCATTTATATAATGAACTTTACAACAATAACTGGAACCCTATGTTTTCCAATTGAAATATCGAGGAGGAGTTTCTATGCAAATTGCATCAAGTGTTTGCATAATGTCATTGTATTGACCTTGACAAAGGCTGACCAGACAGGACTCGGCCACGGTTTCTATGATATGGTCCAGCGATACCGATCAAATACCGATGCAAGTATTTGATATTGTCATTCATTTGTATTGTTAAGCATGTGGGCGACAATGTAGCGAAGCGGAAGTCAGACTACCGTAAAACGATGAAAAAACACGGGTATACACGTGACAATGTTTGTATGATAATGTTATATGATGTGTATATGCCGATTCAGTCTGAACTGATATTTCGTAAACCGATTTTTCAATCGTAATACTAGTACGTAACTAGGCATTTCGTTCTGATATGATAGCGGCAAAAACAAGATAAATGCAAAAAAAGTGATAACGGTGAAAAATAACTATTCACGAAGTATTCCAAAAACAGATTTACAAAGAAAATATTTGTAATCATTATGTTAGGTATACGAACCATTGCCAAAATATATATTTATGATATATTATGTGTGTATCAGAAGGTCAAGATTATAATATTATAGCGACTTGAGCAATATGTTAAAATATTTGATGTCGGATGAATATTTTGAAAATACATGTGTTCTATCATCTACTAACAACATTTATATCAAATTGCATATGGATTTGTTTTTATTTTAAGAAAGAAACTGTGACATTTAAAAAAGAGATAAAAATGTTTATTGGTGTGAACGCAATCTTGATACCATTTTAACACTATGTCAACAACATGTTTATATACAATCCTTACCTTTTGGAGGAAAACGACCCCCTAAAGTCAAGAGAAAGAAAGACATGTAAGAGTTTAATTTGACCCAGAAGTACACCATTCATGTTCTTTACTATGTTTCGTATTGTAATAATAACATATTATTTGGCAATATAATTGTTACTTGCTAATTGGGAGAAAAAAAAAGTAAGCTAAGCTCATGTTGAAAATTGTAAAATGTTAAAGGTTTGGTGAACACTGTCATACCTGTAATTATTTAAAGATAAGTGGGTGTCTTTGTTCCAAAATAAGAACAAGACGCGTGACTTGTAAATCTGTGAATGTGTGTGGGGTTTTACAATGTAAAAGGACAGGCGTTCCCTCACATTCATAATCAACAACAAAACATGTGGCCAGCAACAAACCAACACGTAAAAAACACACACAAAAAACTATAATGTACCGACAACAAACACTTTGCATGTGGATCTAATATAAGTAAAAATATATTTGTAAACCAAAGAAATGTTTGACTTTCTATAAACCCGGTTTGTTCCTCACTTAATACTTAGAATGTCGGACTAAATATATTCATCAAAACTACTTAACTGAATGTGCACGCATTGTCAATATGTTAAGGGCCAAAAAAAGGAAATGATAAAAAAGTGTCTTTAGAAAAAGAGAACAAAAGTTATATAAGCATATAACTGACAATGAATCGAATATTTAATTTCCGTAGGGTCATCGGAAGGGATAGAACGAGATTATATTTTCATATAGAATAATTAAAAGATAGAATATGGAAACTATACCGTTGAGAACATGCACGTTTATACTCGTGGTTTTCTTTTCCGAGCTCCGGCAGACATAGTTCCCTTGATCTGTTAGACGACTGAAGTCTATAATCAGCTGACTAATTAGTGATCTCCCCGGAACTTCCGGTTGGAACATTGATATCCTGAGCCGATCCCGCCACTTGGGGTCACTTTGGTGCACAATGTGGCCGTTATGGAACCAGTCTATATGTTCTGGTGCTCGGTCGACACCAGTGGCATTACACGTAAGGTTTATCATCTGGCTAAGACTTACGAACTCCGTTCCCTGCAGCCAGATAGCTATAGAAGAGAGAGAACCTGATAAAACAGTGTAGTGAGTGTTACAATATCGCATGACAGTGCTACCCATCTGTACGGGTAGATAGCAGCTGACTGAGACCCTCATATAAAGAATTTTGAAAGAAAAAGAAAAATATACAACAAAATTTACAACATCAAATAGATAGAATTTTAAATAGTAATATGTCCGGAATATTCTTTCCGGCTGTGTCGATTTGTTTTAACATTTGCAATCTACGTAACGGTAGAAGCAGGTTGAATAAGCTTTATACAGACATGCATCAAAAGTAGAGAATTGAAATACATCATGTATTACTACCGAAATCGCTAAAATGAAAATGGAATCATTTCCTTACATATCCATATATAATGGATGTGTATACATTTATAGAAACAAATACTACTTTGCTTATTGACGCTCATTTTTTGGTAATACACAAATGCCTCATACTAATTTCGGCTATCCTATTTAACAAATGTTTAAATATCGGTTATTAAAATTGTTAATCTGTTAATGGGACAGAATATATCAGTAGAAGGAGCGTCTCGAAGTTAGATAAGCAATTTATGCAAATTTATTTACACCAAAATGTACCAAATACATTTACAGGTTTGCATGTAATATTTAAAAAATATTTTTTTAGAGACAGAGGAGATTGACACAATGCTAGTTCTAATATAAAGCGCATGTCATTGAATATCATGCATTACATTGCCTGGTTCCCTGGGTTAACGTTAGGCTACCAGAGTGAATATGATAATCTAAATTAATCAGAATATGTAAAAAAAACACATACCGGTGTGCGTGCAAAACTACACGTTTAAGACATATTGATAACCCATAGAAGGAGGACTTTAGCGTTTTGATATCTGCTGTTGTTCTGACAGTGTCAATTTGTATCAACTTTGAGTATTTCAAGGTTTTACATGAATTATAAAGATAGCTTATTGATAGTACGGCATTAGCAGAATGTGTATGTAGAAAGTGCACATATATGTACCTTAACAGTTCGTATATTTTCACATCATTGTAGATTTTCACGCCATTGCACAGTTTGTAAGTATTAATTCGAGTTGACACACACTATCACACCATAAGGAAAAAAACCATACCGGTGTGCGTGCAAAACTACACGTTTAAGACATATTAATAACCCATAGAAGAAGGATTTGGAAACAGAAAGAGAAACTCCACAAACTATGCCAACTGATAAAAGCCTGCATCATACTATCGAAGCTATAATACTGTATACATATAGGGTCGAAGAAAATGTTAAACAGACAGCAACACTTTCATATATCAAAAATGCAATAGGCAATAAGTTCAATCTTATGATTCAATTTTTAATCATAGTGAGAACGTGGTAGTATATACTGAGAATGTAGTGTTAACATCATAACCATACAGGTGAATACCTACTGTATCTCGTGGGCTTGATATTTAGTGACAAAAGGTGTGTTTTAGTTGGCATCAGAAATCAAACGGGTATGCAAGACACACAGATCAGAGCACAATTAGACACAAAGGTTATGCTGGTTGCGTTGAACAATTAAAACTGGAAATGACACAATACTTTGAAGTATCGACAATCAGTTTCGCATATGTTACAACATGCCATGTTGTTGGCCCATACTTGTACATGATTGTATCGAGCTTGTCCTGTCATCTCAAACGAAGCGTTGTGACAATTACATAATTAATGATATAGATGGAATGAGATTCACGGCATTGCAACAGTTCTACCTCCAATGGTGGCCCGCCACTGAGATAACTATCTCTATCGGACAAAGTCATGCAACATCCGGTGCAGGAAACAGTCATGGTCACCGGGGAGCTTTAAAAATGACGCATGCGCAATACAATAGGCATGACAATAAACCGATAGCCATTCCAGGATATTTGGTGCGTGTGACAGGTAGCGAACCTGGATAATGGCACACGTATAGATCTGGGATTGGTTCATGGTAAAAGAAACACGTGTATGTTAAATGATAGTAGAGCAATAAATACAACATAAAACTGTTTTTATTTACACCTAGAATGAGTGTTAGTATGATAACATGCCATAGGTTGTACACCTACTGGGGTATTTCGTCTGTACGCTGTTTGTTTTTTAAAAGCAAATTATTTTGTTCTTTGTCGTGAATTGTATTTGTCTTCGTGTGTACTGGTACAAAGTGATAAGATGTTTTCTAGATATTCAGGCCAAGTATGAGTATCGCTGCCATATCAAATCAGCTATGCAGGCGTAAGCATCTTTATGGTGTTTATGCATGCTTCATGGCGCGTGTCTCGAGTTTATCGTAAAGTGATCGGATTGCGATATCAGCATTCAACGATTTGCTGTTCTACGTACATAAGTTACAAAGGACATTCTAGTCAACGAGAGCGATTTTTACAAATGATATCCTCTGCCAATGGAATATTAAATTAATCTTGTTTAGTGAGTGTTATAACGCGTTGTAATACAGTTGTAACCATTGCCTCATTCCCATGAATTATAAAGCAATCGTGAGTAACAAATAGGAACGGGTCATATACCAGCATGGCTCAGATCGACGGGATGGGCTTTAAATCATATTATACTGTATAACAGGTTTTTGCAATTTCTGCTCTATTTGAAATTTGAAAATGTTATGAGATGCGGAAATGAGTAGATACAATGTACATTCGCCGCGCTCCGATTTATAAAGTGTTAATTTTGTACAAAAAAACCCCTTTTACATCGACGCACATGTGCAGGGTAATAGCGATAAGCTGGGTGAACAGCGCATAACAAACATTTGCTAGAAGTGCCATAGAGCAACACGTGTAAAGCTACACAATAAAGCCTACATAATAAAATACTACTTGGTTAAGGTATCATTTGTGTTGTGAAAGAACAAAACGAAACACATGAATCTAAAACTTTAAATATTTTTATGGGCTAATATTTTAGCTGTGTCACTGATTGGATTAGACCTTGCTTAAGACTACAAAAACACAATGGTGGCATTACTCACTTTTTTCAATATACGCAGGTTTATCTGAAAAAAACAAAAAGTCACATTATTCAGTACGCTTTAGACATCTTATCTGATTTTAATGGTTCATATATTCATTGGTGTTAATGTATTAGACGACCCCATACGTGTCAGCACATTTACACTCTCAAACCGTCCTAAACGTTATTCATCTCAAAATACAATGAACCTCTTTTTTTGTGATATACAATCGAACCAGACGATAGGAAAACAACAAGACTTAAGAGGATGCTTTTACAATATGAAAGAGGGGAAATGTTAAGTAGTTCATGTAAAATAATTGATTTCATTTTGTTTTGTTAAAGTATATGGGAATACTATCTTTGTGAGAGTTGAATCAAAGCTAGCATGACGAAATGTATTGCATGTGTATTAAGATCCTTTACTATGTTGCAATAGTCTCGGGTATAAACAGTGCAAATATTGATTTACTTAGCAAAGTTATTTATTTCGTATGCATCTTGGTTGTGTTGTCAGGTCGAACATGGTGCAATGTACCATATTTATATCGCAAAGCATGGTTAAAGAAGTTTGTGTTCTATTTGCGATTTTGCTCATACAGGAAATGGTAACAACAGAGTGAGCAACTGTGCAACTTCCTGAACAACGTTTCATATTGACCTATTTGCACTTTATAACAGATATCATCGAAACTCATCAGATGTTACCATATTCGCTCAATTTACCGAAGTAAACCATGTGAATTATATACGTAAAATTCAAAATGTAAATACGTAAGAATAAAAGAAAATGTAAACTTGATTGGAACAAGAAAAATATACAAGTCGTATCAGACTATAAATATAACCTTTCTATGTCCAAAAAAAATCTGCTTGACACAATCATCTACCATGTCTGTAAACAGCTAGCCGTTACATTTGTAGTCACAAATTGAAGCCTTGTGTCAGTCAGACTATTTGGTTATGACGTCATTAGCGTATTGATGCCGTTCCTCTTCTCGTAAACTGGCGTGGTCAAATACAGCCCAGACGGATTTTTCGAGGGCTATTGACTATGATGATAGATGATAAGTGATCCAAGTTATAAAGGGACGGATTCAATAAGAGGCGCATGCTAAGCAATAATACATTCATGCATGTACATGTACCAATTAAATAGCTTTTTTTCTGTTAGTTGCTATATTTCAACATATCAAGAATGTCTATTCTGAATCAATTAGAAACAAATTACAGTGTTTCAGAGACAAAAATACGTGCAAATGGTGACTGTTGGAAAGTATCCGTCCTAAACCTTAATGATATGTGGCCTGTTCTTCAATGTAATCGTAACCATGGTCTCGTGCAGGAAGACAATAAAGGCAAACACGGTCGGACGGACGCTTGTTAGTCAAAATGCTAAAAAGGTTTCTGTCGTTTAGATTCTTCAACAGGAATGTTTTGATCTGACGCATGCATTGTAATGTGGTGAATTAACATCGCAGCTAGCTGTGGGACGTTGAATTTATCTGCTAACTTACGAGTGAAAGATGTGTTGAGAATAATAACATTACGCCAATTGGAATATGCAACGCAAACTTTCAGAACTGTTGTTAAGTTACTTAACACATTTGCGAATATTAGCACCTAGTCTTTATTGAAATCACGTCGGAGTTTCACGCTTATATATCTGCCATGATCGACCTGATTGATTGACTCTACGAAACGGATTTGTTCGCAGACACTATAGAAGTCGCTCGGTTTGGTCGGAGTCTTCAAACAAACAAGGAAAAAGTGTGTGCCGTTGGTGTATGTCTAGCGTAATAGTATTTATACATAATTCTCATTGACATTTTTCATCAATCGAAATGGAAATCATAAATATCCGTCCAAGCGATCAACAAAGGTAATTGATGGTTATACTGTTCCAGTTTTGTTGCCGACAGACTGATCTATTGTTCGTGTTAACCAGCGCATATATATGTTTTGGAAAATAAATTATTTTACCGAACATTGTCTTCCAGGACGAAACAAAAACGGGATTTTTTCAGTTTTAGTTAGCTGCGATATATATTCGAGTAATATATTTTTTTATCTTTACATATTTGTTTCTAACATTCTATTGTAATAAATACGATTTATCATAAGACCGACGATGTCAGTATTTGATATTTATTAAATAACTATTTTTTGTTGTTGTAACATTTATCAATACGAATTGAACTTTCTAACATGGATCTTGAAAATATAGAAAAACATGAATTTCCTTCTCTTTACAAACAGTTCATTAGTGAATGCTGATTTGTTTCTTAAAATGGTTATTTAATATCATAGAAGTACCGTTGTGCCTTCACAGCAAGAGGAACTCGCTTTTAATCTGTCTTATGTTTGCTGCAAACGATCTGTATTACATTATCAATTGTTTAAGTACAGATATAAATACAATAAGAATCAAGTTATATTGATTATAAAAATACCATTAACCGCAATTTAAACACCTTAGCCAGTGTATACATATACCATATACATTTATTTCAATATTTTAAAATTTTAATAAGTCTGAGCTTGCTTATATACCAATATCGCTGTAAATTATCACATTTGGGATCAAAATTTAACACCGAAGGACGTACAATTCCAAACAGAATATCATTTGCATGGCCATATAATTACGCTGCTAATAAAAATAGTTTTGTTTGGTACCGAATTATAATGTACGACGCCTAACTATGATATTGTATTTATGGTTTTATTTAAAACGCATTAAAATTAAAACAAACCGTTAAAAACTATATATAAACAGCAAAATTAACTAAGACAACAAACAAAACAAGAGACTCTGGAAGGGCAAGCTTACTCTCATTACAAGTGAGCCCATTATGTGTGTTCAGTTGTCATCGCTAGATATACACGTTAACTTACCTAGAACGACAAGATTTACTGTATATGTGAAAGTTTCACTGGCGCTCACTTTACATTCGTAACTGCCCGTGTCGTCAGGTTTGGTCTCCTTGATGACTAGGGTCCACTGCGACACAAACTCGTCTAGGTCTCGATGGTTTATACTAATTTCTTCCCGCGGGGAAAACGGCATATCTCCGATCGTTAATGGATAGCTGTGAGGTATTTTCCGCCACTGAACCTGTAAAAGTAGATATTTGGTATTTGAAACTAATATCTATGTTTTATAATAAACGACATTACCAATTTCAAAACCATCACAATATAAGAAGGAAATAACTGGTTAACTGCATCTTTTTGTGTTCTCTCCATTCTATTATTTTCGTTTCTAATTCCTTACTTGACAATACCTTGCATTTGGCCTCAGTGTTGAGTGTTAGACCTAGCAAATAATGTTATTGGTCCTGTCCCTGAAGCGAGAACAACCACATTCATACAGCAATGTACACACTTCTCACTGCCGGACGTTCAGCTTTGAATGTTTAGTGGTACCCAATGTATCAGTATAATGTGACTGGTAAGAGTGTGCTACATATACCGTGTCCGGGGTGTGACATTTCAGCGCTTTAAACTGCCCCTTGTGTGGCCTTATCATATGTGGACACGTTGATGCCGTCTTCATATGAAGTTAGCAATTGATCGAATGCTTATGATGTAAAAAAAATATTAACAAGGAATACAATCAAAAAACCTCATAAGAACGAATTAAAAAACCCCACTGATATAATTACTTTATAAAAAAAAAACTGATTATCGTGTCTAATTATTACAACATTTAATAAAGATATATCAAGAAAAAAAACCCGAACCAAATTATGAATTTCACGATTTATGCATTACATTTCTGATATTGGTTGACATCAGTAGAGCGGAAAAGATAACACACACACCATTATCCGCTTTTTGTTTGCTTAAATATCTTAATCGATCGTGTTATTCCTAGAGACAAGCGTGAGCTTAACCGTTTCATGTGAAACCAATAATTTCTAATACTTTCTTACAAGGTGAATGATTTCGGACATAAACCATGATCGAAATCCGGAAATACGCAGTAGACACATACACTATTCCCATGGTAATGGAAACTAGTGATGGAATCCACCGGCTCTATTGCACACGGATCAGTGACCCTCAGAGATGGAACGCAGCCATATTTCTACCGATACATGTATCATTGAATACATGTTTCGTTGGTGTTCGCTGTGCAACATTGTATACTGCATATTACAAAATGGAGGTGGCACCTAAATATTAAATGTTTTAAATTACCCTTAACATATAAATGGTCAGGTTTCAGTGTAATATAACTCTTTATTGTGCGGTCACATGACCTCAACAGGACGGTCACGTGATCGTCGCGGTTTAATCTAATTAAACGTTGCTTTTAAGCGTTCCATGGTCAATGACTGTGGCGTAGTTTGAACCTTGGTGTTGTTAGTTTAACATTGGGCTAGCAGTTGACCCTAGTCCCCGTGTATTATTAACTGTATAACAGTATCTGCTATGCTATGATATCGGTTCCTGCGTCGCCTATAGTGCGTTATGATTACCAGTTCTGTTATGGAATGAATATTGGGTAAACTATCTCAAATCTATACAAAATCAGTTACAATTTAATAATAATATCGTCGCTTATCCTGATCATGACTTGTACGCTTAGGTTAGTATTTTGTTTCTTTGTTAGGGAATAAACGCCCTCGCAATAACAGGGGTCATATGAGGACAGGTACCTAGGACATTGCTTAAGTGGGTAATATTAAATAAAGAAAACACAAAATTTAATTCCATTGGACATAAATGGATATAAAGTATCATTTCTCGTTTTCTTGACGTTCGTATGATGCCATATCAAACAAGGAAAGAATATCATAACGTCAAAATACAAGGTGAAAACTCAAAATTCAAAACTTCAATAAAAACACTTATGAATCGATTGAAATAAACCAAACTGCGCCCAATCTCGAAAAAGGAAACGGAACAGTACGATGGAAGGTGTAGAGGATTTATTTCGTACTTTTGGGATATATCGTTATCGTTTGTGTTTACATTATCAAGTCTCATCTTAATGAGATTATACTTAAGGACCTAGAACACACAAATTAGATAGCAACGGAAAGATTTCGTGATAGATAAAGCATGCTAAAAATGAAAAACACTGCATCATACAGCAGTTTCGTCCTTCTAGGACTCATCGGTGTTGCTAGGGTTGAAAACCATCATCAATGCTTAACGGCCCATCAACACAGGATAGGTCATTAGGGCCAACAAATGGTCGACAAAAACAAATGCTAAATAAAAACATCAAGCCAAACTTAAAGGTAAAAAAACAAACGTCAAATTGAATATTGAAAGTAGTTATGGTGACTCAAATATAAATCCAAACTGGCCTAAAGCACTGCTTTACTTAACGGGGAGGTGAATAACATCCAATTATGACATGGTTTTAAACAATAAGAGAATAACCGATTAATTTGAAATATAAATTAATACAGTGTGTATATTATGGATCCGGCCACTACTCAAAAAAAAATACATATGGCCAGCAAGGTTACAGCTTACAGCTTTTGTGCCCAGGTATTTTATCTTGCACTTGAGGTGAGCTGTCTGGCCCAAATGTACGGTGACGTTCTGTTTGGTCGGCAGGAAAATCGGTCTTGCGTGATTACGGAAATAGTTGAGACCTGCAAAATACCAAACAGAGGTTTCTTTAAAAAAAGATATAGGAGTTGGTAAACTTATAAGATGGCGAGAAACATTGTACATCCTGTAATATCTTTGGACTTTTCATTTTTTTTAGCACATACACATTTTATTTTCTAATAGACATATCATGATGAATTTCAACTGTCAGCGTGTGCTCCAAGTTACAAATAAGTAATACAAAATATTCACATTTAAGGGTGTAGACAAAGAGAGAAAAACAAATATCAGTGGTTCAGTGCAGAAAAGAAAGTAGTGATTTACATCAGAGATACATTATTTTGTCTTTCTTGATAAAACGTCGATGATAGATGAAAGGATAAATACAATCATTTGTAGAATATAAAAAATATATATATTCCCTGTTACAAAAAGAGGTACAGATGTACTTATTCAGGTGAATGCAACTTTCAGTATTTTTCTTTTAAACATTAAATATAATGGTTTGATTATGCATTTTCAAACACCGTGGCTGCTTTAGAACATTGATTCTTTCACTTTAGCCCAATCAATGCTGAAACTAATTAGTCAATAGTCAAATGCCAGGGACGGGGATGTTAGGTGAACTGACGGGTGATGATCTTCTTCGTTAGATTACTTTATTGTCAAATCATCCAACAGACGACAAGAAAACAAAATAAACAAATGTGTATGCAAAGAGTTTTCAGCTCCGAACTTCACTATGTTTTCATGATGAATCACGTTTTAGCTAATAAAACGAGTCGATATAACTGTTTTCCGTGTGTTAGATAAATAAAACTAATTCTCTGGAATAAAAATAAATGTTTTTAATAATTCATTGTTGAATGCACAATTGTCCACGAATCACCTACGTTGTAGTTAAATGAAGTTATAATAGGATGTTTTTATCTGGTTTTTTAACTCTGTAAAAGTATGTAAAAATACAATGAGGTACATGTACATCTAAGGTTCCCTGGTTACTAAATATATAGAATTTAACAAACAACGTTATTGAATTGATGGCTGTGATCATCTTCTTAATTTTAATATAACATTTTCAGTTGATATGGCATATTATGAAGTTAAAAGAATTAAACGACAATATCTACTGCGGCGATGTCGACTTTGACTTATACGTTTAGAACATTAAGGCATCTGTATTAATATTAAAATAACGGAAGTAAAACAGGTAACAAGTTTAAAATTATCCGCTGATACTGTAGTTGTCAGTGCGTTCTTTACGTGTACATTTGTATCAAACTGCATTACTCTCATATTGACAATTAAATAACCGAATCTAGTTTATAAAGGTAATTCTATAGCTGGTAATGGGAAAGATTTTTATGGATATCTACGAGGGCGGTTTGCTAACCCCCACTCGTTCATAAGCCTTGTTAGGCCCAATGTCATTATTTTGGTAATTGGTGGCCCTTCTGACAGCAGACAGCAATGATTACCTTCTCAATTTGTCTGGAATTGAGGCAGAATTGTCTCGGGCAAGGGCAATTGGCAATTCAGGTGTCTACGGTTGTCATCACATAGGTGCTTTATAGAATTTCGGTAGAATAATAAAAGTCATAATGTCGCGTCTTAGACGAAAATCTGGACATTTCATTGGTTAAAACAGATCACGTGTTTATTGAATAATTCCTATTCAGTGTTATTTGCACCTCATATCTATAACTGCAAGCACAAATTGCAAAGATAGTTACGGTCAGATAAAAATAATTCGACAAAAATGACAAACACTTAATGCCGAAATCAGAAATCATTGTTGAAATAAAAGACCATCTGTAATTAGCATCCCTTCGTACTGATCGCATATGATTGTCGAGTTGGTCAACTTTTTTTCCGTTTGCAACAGAATGTATTTGAGTAAAAATAATTAGATTAAAAGGTCGTTTTCGTGACAATACAATCCTTTGCACAGACATGCACATACAAGGAATTTACCATTTACAACAATGAGGCAGACGGCTATAAAGCTGGCTAACAATTGACATTCCTTGAAGAGATGATAGAAGTAGTTGCTACCTAGACCCTTATCACCCTACATATCTGATCTGCTGTCTCACCCCCTGAGGAAAGGTGTGTGCGGGTGATGTACTCTCTGACCTTTTCAACCATGCAAGCGTTAACCCTCTTATTATCGAAACTCATTAAGACCGTTATACTGGATAAGAACTTTTCCATACGTAAGTAAATTTAACCCTCCATATCAATTCTGAAGCATCAATTCACTTTCAATTCTTTTGTTTTGAAAAAAATAAAAAATCAAGAGGATCTTGACAAAGAAGAGTGTTACAACATGATATTTCCTAGATTACAAGATGACTAGGCTTTCACACAACGTGGGCTGATCAAATAGGAAGGGGTGATCAATACCATTCAATCTCGGCTTTGTTCAAGGAGCGTAACTTGGCATCCGTTCGCCGGCATTGGGAAATGTTTCGCTCTAGGCAATGTCTCGAGAGGTCTCTCTTTAGGCACAGATCTTGTCCATTTTGGAAAAAATGTTGCAACAAGCCAGCAGTTTAAATCAGTACAACTACATTCATTGAACCAAGAGTACGTCTCTGAAGGTTTTCGAAAATTGTACTTAATTCCTGAATATAGCCTAAGAAATTGCATTAAAAATAAATAATTAAACAAAAATGAGGTGGTGACCTGTCAGACAAATTCCATTTGATTTCTTCAACTGTGTGTAAATGTCAATTTCAAATTCCAATACTGTTGATTAACGACTCCACTGAACACAACGGGGTTCTATTCAAGACGATAATGAAATTACAGCTTTAAGATTTCATCTTATAAAATTATCTTTTTGTTAAAACAATAAAGCGCTATTACATAACGTCTGGCGAACGCAATAATGACATCCCTTGATTTGAATTTATTTTTTAAATATTACAAATATTTGTCTGGATCTACAGAGAGGCACATGACACATGCTTATGGCTACAGGTCATCATCTACGAGTTAATATTATTTACTGTACATGTACACGCATATTAAGTATCTGTAAAATTGTTCTCGGTATTGGTGGACATCTTGATGCTGAACAGCTGATAACATTATCTCTCGCGAGACTATGATCAGTGAGGGTGAGTTCCTCAACGCTCAAACGATGACATGATACATTGCCCTCCCCATGACTTGGCCCCGGTAGGAATTGATTGTTCCTAAAACCATTCCAGTGGAGTTGTTAATGTCATAAACATTGTCAACATTTACTCGTCTTACAAACAATATCTATAATCCATGGAAAATGTGTTTACTTTATCCATGTTCTTACAAACAATTTCAGCTGTATAAACAGCGTACATGCATATGCTTTCGAGTTCGGCGTTGATGAATGTCAACGTTTGTGTTGAGCCCCAACTTGAAATTAATCAAACATATTTGTATTCTGTTGTCTGAAATACGCGAGGGAAATTCTGATCTAATGTAGAACAACTGTGTCACGATATACTTCATATAACCAAACCGCCGCAGAACTGGTTATTTTTTATGTGTACGCCATAGCTATGCATGCTCAATAGATTTAATTACAGTTTTATTTGTTTGTTTGTTTGATTTTGTTTAACGTCCTATTAGTACATGTATATAATGTATGGGTATTGTGGTAGAAATCGTAGGAGTGTCATCAAAAACCTAATTTTTGTATATATAGTATCAACATCTGTGACTTATGACATCTACTTGGATGTGCAATGTGCAACGAGGAATAATCAAGTAACAAAGTACGATAAGACAAGAACACAACAGCAACGTCAACACAGACAGGTCAGAGGAACTAAGGAGATATGCATACCGACTGATATCAAATCATGCGCTTTACACGTCAACGATTCTAGCTTGTTAACCGAACATTGAGATACATTGTATATAATGGTGAACTTTTGGCGTGGTGACTGCTGTAGACCACATATAAAACTCTCCTGTGTCATTGAGTTTAAATAAATCATGACGTTTAATTAGTAGCAACTAAATTGCTAGTTTTAATGTGTCTTTAGACCTAGTGGCAACCGAAATGCAATGTACATATACATCATTTCGTAATTAGTTGTGCTGTTCATGAAATGGCAAAGCAACCATGAAATACGGTGAAACCTTAATGCTGCATGTAGATATATACTCTTAATAAGTCCGTTGGTAGCTTGACTGCAAACAATGTCAAACTGTTTACCATGACAAACCATTGACACTTGTGTGATAATTATAAATACACATATTTATAATTGTACTGTTGATTTTAAATTTATTATTTTCTATATTTGTAACTGAATCAAGTCAGTCAATTGATCTTCTGATTCACGAGTAGTATTAGGGTTTCTGTTAGATAAAGCTAATCATACACTGCATATTTATATTACCGACTTTTGCAAACCATTGCTTTTTCGTGATAAATTATTGACAATGTAATTAGTTAAAACGTTGCGGTTATATCGGTCCAGCAATTTTATGACAAAGAGTTATTTTATATATTCATGTTTCAGGATCTCAGAAGTTTTAATGTACTTGTCAAAATTGAGTAAAAGGGTACCCAAACTATTTAATGTTTATTGTTTTTCTAACAGTAAAAATGTCGCCGTTAATTGTAGTTCTCAGTAAACTATATTCATATGGCGTTCGTATGTCATCTTTTATTATTTTTCCCATTTCTTAACTGTTATTAGCAAATTCAACGAATGGATTTAAACTTCCAAATGAGTAAATGTACAATTGATACAATTTTAGCTATTTACAACAGATATATATCAAACGGTTTTGCAATTCAATTAGACTTCCATTTTCAGTGATTGTATTAGTAAGATAAATATGTGTGTGGTGTTCTTGAAACCTTACAATTGTAACTAATTCATCAATACAGACATGTGTGCGTATAGCAATACATATTCATATTTGTAACTACTAGCAGCTGAATAACGTCTTGTGTTTACGTACAGTATGTCAGTCACCTGCTTAGAAAAAGGCCTTTTAATAAAAAAAAAAATCCGCCTTTCAAAACTAATTGTCG